AATATTTTGGTACTTTTTTTAGTGCTTTCTGCAAGTTGAGCAAAATTTTGTCTACAGATCGACTAACCTCTAACCCTTCAGTATTTTCATCCGCCCTTATGGAGCTAAACATGTTTTTATCTTAAATAATTTCAGCTGAACTAATTGCTCTTACCTATGATTCTGTTTCACTGTTTATGGAGCTAAACATGTTTTTCTTTTGAGTAATTTCAGCTTAACTAATTTCTTTGTGAAACCATTTTTAACTAGAATTTAATGATTCATTTTAATTGTCTATGGGTAACTTTGTGAAACCATTTTTAACTAGAATTTAATGAATCCCCTCAATACACGACTACTGACATGTCTTGTTCTAAGAGAAACCAAAAAGTTGTTATCTACTGAGTTTGGCGGAAAACATGGTGGATAAAACAGAAAATCACAATATTTAGTCACTTTTAGTGAATCAAAGTTTCATAAGTAATTTAGTAATAACTAAAATTTATATTGAGTTGTAGGTTAATAATTCTTTGGCTGCTGCTCAAGCACGGTTACGGAATGCGAGGGAAGAGAGGGACCAGTTCGAGGAAGCAAACAATCAGATAGTTGAACATCTGAAGATAAAGGTTCGAAATTCTCTTTTTCTTGGCCGAGTATCATGTTAAATAAATATCGCTTAATACAGTTTTACTCTTTTGATCCAGTTTGAAATTTTGATTTGAGCTTGATTGACAGGAAGATGAACTTTCAAAATCAATTAGCTCATGTCGGGTTGAATCAGACGTCATCAAAACCTGGATTAACTTTCTGGAAGATACCTGGGTTCTCCAGCAGTCAAATACAGAAATTCATGAGAAGCAGGTCAAGTATGTAATCTAACATGCTAACTGAGTAATGACTGTTTAAATAACTATAAGAGGAGTGTTTTTGAGTGAATATACTCTATTCTTACTATACAGTGAGGTTTACTAGTATTTGTTAAATAGGCGCGTCCTACAGTTCACCTGATAGAACTAGTACAACAGAATGAGCATAAAAGTTATACGATGGATGTATAATAAGAAAAGCATCGATCCTATTCACTGTTTCTTGTGCTGAAGTAGCAAGACTGTTAAAGAAGAGTTTAACCTCTCAGGGTGTTGGAAAGGCTCTGATATCTTTTAGCTCCATATCCAATGACCCCAAGACTATATACTCAGTATTAGTCACATATACTTCCGATATGCGAGCAATAGCTGCAGCCACGTTATTACAATCACATATACTCAGTTTCTACCAAAATATCCATCAACCAGAAATCTGGAATAATTATTCTTCCGTTGTGATCAAGACTTGAGCATTATAGAATAATTATGGGATGCTCGGTGATGTATTTAGATGTCTTGGTTCTTCCCCCTGGATAGCTAGCTTTATAAGGGAGGGTTCGCCAAGTCCTTAGATACTTATCCCACTGTTCTTTATTTTATTATTATTCACTAATAATGCTTTTGTTTGTGAAGTGATGAATTGGAGAGACATGAGGACTATTTTGTGAACTTGGCCATTCAACTTCTTACTACTTACCAGGTATTTAATTTACCGATTCAGATAATGGGTGGAAAATGGCAGGACTCATTTCTGTTTCCTCATTTGTTCCCCATGTGTAATATGACCTACTGTGTTGTCTGCAGAAAGAGTTAGAGCCCTGTATTAACCATATCCAAACATTTGTTCTGAACCTTAAGAATTTGAGTCAGAGGTAATATCTTTTTTATTAAATCTTGTCTTACATGGGCACTTGTTTAGCTGGCAATTTCTTTGATTTCAATACAATTTTGCATTTATGCAATTTCTTAGATTTTTTTAAATAAGTAATTAAATTGTATGTACTTTCATTTGCGCACAAATATTACACTTTTATTTCAAAACCTATGCATGTGTGTGTTGTCATGTCTTTATCTATCTATTTCCTTAATTTTACTTGAGGAGACAGGTTAGAAATGACTGCGAGTGCAGATACTGAGGAATCAAAATTATTAAGTCCAAGGAGAAATCTCGAGGAGGAATATTTGACCTATGAAGCCAAGGTAATAGGCAACTTCAAGTGATTTTGAGTTGCTGGCATGTTCATCTGCATCTTTTCACATTACTTCCTCCCTAGCAGAGAAAATGCATCTTTATCCTGGATTTTTAAAAAAATTTTCCACTTAGTTTTTTTTGAAAATTTTTAAAATTAAATTGGAGAAGGGAAATTATTATTTAATATTGATGGCAATATTGACAACTTCCTCTGGTTCTATTTAAAAGAGAAAGTTGACTTTTTAGATTCATTGAATAATCAATGTATCTGGTCCATTATAGAGTCCAAATTCATGGATTATCAATGAATCTAAAAAGTAAATTTTCTCTTATAAATGACCGGAGGTAGTATTTTACAACTATTCGAGATGAAATTTAAGCTTTGTCCTACGAGGCTACAAATACAAGCTCTTACCACTGAGCTGACAATTCTTGAAACATTTTATACTATTTTTAATTTTTATTTTGTGCTTTTTACTTAGCATACCGAACACTTAATATCTGTTGCACACCGTATGCTTCGTTCTCCATGATTGTCCATGTTTTGTTCTTTCAGATTATTACCACGTTCAGTGTAGTGGATAACATGAAACAACAGTTTTATGCTCAACAGGGGAATATTACCAGGTTTTGGATTTTTCTTTCTAAGTAACTTTGTTTTCTTTGCTAAAAATATAGCTTTATATAATTAAAGATATGCGAAATGATTAAGTACACAAAACTAATGTGTTAAATAGAAACTTTTTCTTAATGGTCGTGATCCAATAATACATGTTAAAACCATTTGGTTTTGCTTATCGGGTTCACAATACAGGAAAGATGAAGAGAAAGTCAAAGAGCTTTTTGAAGCCATTGAAAAGTTACGGATTCAATTTGAAGCTATAGAAAGACCAATTCTTGAAATAGAGAGCCCACCTGTAAAGACCGAAAGATTACCTTCTGAGAAAAAGTCAGACAGTATACCTTCACCTTCTTCTGCTTCAGTTCAAGGTACTGAGTTTTCAAAGACTGAGACAGATGAACAACCGAAATCACCTTCAGTTAAACCAGATCAAGTATTGGACCACGAAGCCGAATTAGCCAAGCTGGAATCTGAGTTTGGAAAGGTTAGTACTCAAGATTACTCAACAGAGGAAATTAATGATTGGGAATTCGATGAGCTTGAAAGAGAATTTGAATCTGGTAGCACCAAGTGATTACTTCCATTTCTTTTCTTAGACATTAATGCCTGCTGCTGTAATTTTATATTGAAGCAAGTGCAAGTATATCATATAAATTTGTAAGCTATAGGCTGGCAATTGACGAAGTTTGTAAGATCAGATGGCCTTCGAATTTGTAAAAAGATTAAGAATCGTAATTTATTAATTTATCTGTAAAACACCTAATTTGTAACTCGTAGACGGAGTATCAAATGATCTGAAATGATTAGCATGGCTGTAAATTTTAAGTTTTAGTGTCTGTCTACTCCAATTTTATAAAAATGATTGTGCGCTATTTTACTTCTATATTTTAGTATGAACACGAGTTGGCTCATATTTTCCAGTATTTTCAAATTTGTATTGGTACTCTTTTCCTTAAATGCAAAGGAATGAAATTTCAAGGAAAGTTAGTAGTAGTAGAGGGATGGAAAAACGGGACAAGCTTGTCGGCCATGCTCATTTTGCTTGCATCCTCTAACTGTTTTTTGTGGGCACGGTCATTAATATAATTTTTTGAATTTTTAGGTTTAAAAGGTGTCGTGCTTGTAAGTTCGTTCTGCCCTCGTTATTTTGCGGGGGCCGGTCAAAATTTAGGCCTGGATTCTCAACTATGTTCGCCCTCTCTTATTTTCTTGTGGACTTTTGTAGAGTAGACCTAAACGTGAAGGATATGTCTCAACTATGTTCGCCCTCTCTTATTTTCTTGCGGAGTTTTGTAGAGGAGACCTAAATGTGAAGGATATGTCTGTTTGCCACTCCTAGTAGTAGCATAACTAGGGTCTGTATTGAAAAGAGAATGAACCAGTAAGCACTGGTTATTCATGATTTTTCAGAATGTCTACCAACTCATTTGAAACAAACATTGCATATTGGGAGAAAAAGAAGGAAAAGATAGGACCTTGCTACTTCCCTTTGAAAAAAAGAAGAGAAGTGGTAACTCCCAAAGTAGGTCGGAATGTGTTAAAAAATTACTAATAACATACCTAAGTCTTAAGCTTTGCAGGCATTCCGGCCTCAGTCCACTCCCTCCACCATTATTTGTCGGGACACATCTCAAGTCAATTTCATTCAGTGTATTCATTTATACTATACTTTATTCACTTACAATAGGACTTCAAATATTTAAAATAGAATTATCAATCAGAAAAGCAAATTAGTTAGCAGCAATAAACACAGACAGAATAATTAGAACAAACATGAAAAAGAATCCCATGTTTTGTTTCTGTCTACACAAAAAGGTTTTAACAGAGCCTTACCTTACCCGTGTGCTAGTTAACACTAAACCAGAAATTCAGTAAAAAGTGTAAAGTATGTAATCCTTGGAAGTTGATCAGCTCTATGATTATTATTTAATCATCAAATCCACCCAACATATTTTTCCCTTTTTTCTGATAATATTGCTTTTGATGCATTGAACTATACTATAATGATGACTCTAGTGAATGCAGAATTGCATGTCATGAAAAACATAGTAAATTTAACAATGCCAATGAGAATCAAAAACCACAATGTTTATGTCCTGTGGGTCAGTGCTTCCCCCCACAAGAAAATCAATCAGGTTTTAATTTTACATTTAGATGCTTGCAGTGCAGACAAACTCCTTCAATAATGAAAAGATAAGAAATTAAATATATTAGAATACCACTAAGTATAGTATATATTATACTTTTTTAAAAGCATTAAAACTAGAATAATCTTTTATTTTTTCATGATAAAAGCTCAGCTATCTTAGTTAGAATTCTCAAAATACTTGAAAAGATTAAAATGGCAGCTTCAAAAACATTCTTAGCATGTGACCCTTCAGATGATGACTACATTGACATGGAAGTTAGTTCATATTCCAACTTCTTCAATCATCATTCTGAAAAATCTAGAGAATTCGAGTTCCAAATGTCCTCCATTGTTCAAGAGAAGGAACCGTCAACTTCTCCGGCCGACGAGCTTTTCTACAAAGGAAAACTCCTCCCTCTTCACCTTCCGCCTCGGTTACAAATGGTCGAAAAGCTTCTTCAAAACCCTCACAAAACTTTTGAAGAAGAAAAATACATCTTTGAAGAGTTCTACAGCACTCCATTAGCAACTACTGCTTTCACAACACCGGTTACCGGTACACCATTTGAATCGTGCAATATCTCACCGTCTGATTCATGTCAAGTTAGCCGAGAACTAAACGCTGAAGAGTATCATAACCTCGACTACGAACCGATGGATACAAGTGGATTCGTTATCGAAAACCAGAAGAAGTCATGGACTAAGAAACTGAAACAGTCTTCTTTAGGTTCAAAGTTGAAGGCTTCAAGAGCTTATCTTAAGTCTTTGTTTGGAAAGTCTGGTTGTTCATATGAAAACTATGTAACTTCATCAACAAAAGTTGCTGATGAAGGTTCCGTTTCGAAAGCGAGGGAAAATTTAAAGAAAGATCCATACGGACAAATTCAAAGACATAGATATCATCAGTCTTCGATTTCGGTTATGAGGGAATTCAAAGAAAAGAGCAGTGAGGATGGAAGTAATCATCACAGAAGGTCATTTTCTGTTGGAATCAAGCTTCTTTCTGGAAATAAATCGTCGTCGAGTTCGTCGTCATTTTCAGTTTCAAAGAAATCTTATGGATGTCATCAAACTCATCAGCTTCTGAAAAGATGCAGCAGTACAAGTTCTGAGATAGAGAATTCAATCCAAGGAGCAATTGCATACTGCAAAAAGTCACAGCAAATGTTATCTTGAAAAGTAGCTTTGTTTTTGTTGGATTTTTCATACATTGTCTTTCCAATTAGAAAGTAACCTTGGGATGAAAGATAACTCAAATTGTCACTAATATAAATTTTCATAAACATTCGTGCTTTTCAGTATCTAATGAAATTTAAATTGACCCATTTGAATTTATATACAGCTAGGTTAATAAGAAGTCTCAAACTAAATGAAAATTTCTTTTTTTTATTATAAGTGTCACGCTTATTAAAAAAAGTAATTGTATGAAAAAAAGGAATTATGAAATTTTTTGCAGAATTATCTTCATTAGTTATTTTTGAAAAACACAAATTCAAGAAGAATAGAAAATGCTTAATGGCCCTCCCTCCTCTGTATCAAAATTTTTTAGTCTAAAAAACTTGTCCTAAAATAATTGTGGCTTTATTTTTTCATTGCAACATTAATTAATTTTTATCAATTTTACTTTTAATTAATATTGTTTATACAACTCTTAAGTCATTAAATCTTATTATGCATGTATAATAATGTATAAATAACCAATAATAATAATAATGACAATTTTGCACCCATATATTTCTCAAAATTTAATTTGAAAATGTATCTCCGAATTCATTCTATATACATTTCATGCATTCCTCACTAAAACACTTTTAATTTGACATAAGTTGATCTAGAGATACATTCTCCTATTTAAACTAAACAGAATTCAGAGATGCATTTCCATATTCACACCAGACAATAATATTTGACTTTATTTTAGAGATACACGGATGAGTTAACGATTATATATATATATATATATATATATATATATATATATATATATATATATATATATATATATATATATATATATATAATAGTGTTCATAGTGTTCATAATACAAACATCATATACTATTGCGTATGTTGGACAGTCCCCCCATTCCTACACTGCCTCATGTACTACAGTGCTTGTCGTGTCTCCTCCATGATGAAATCTATAATGTCTCTTGCCTCAGAGCCTTTTGGAAAGACTCCCCCTGTCTATACCCGTCTGTGCCATATCCACGATATGTCGACATCTAGGCAACACATCAACAACATGATTTTCTCTAACCTACTCCTCCTCTAGTATCTCTTGATGAGCTGATCTAGGTGGATCTCTCATAACATCCAGTGTCATATAAGGATGTGAGATCCTGAAATACCACTGCATGTAATCATATGTAACACTCCAGTCGTTATGAGATATGGTACTCTGTGCCTCATTCGGTATTAGATGATTAAGATAATCATCAAACATGACATCGACATCTCTCTGTGCCATATCGGGAGGCACAAAATCATATGGGTCTCTAGGAGAAAGTTCATGTAGCCGACCATCTATAATAGAAGGCTATTTCGTTCAAGGGACATGTCTGACGTTGATCTACGTACACTTGAAAGTGTATATCATTTACTACTATGCGGTCAAGATACACTTTATGGCTCCATCGCCTGATTCCTCTGAGCAGTATAAATGCAGTAGCACATGGCATATCTTTGTTGTCAAAACACATGACGAGTAGGATATGTGTGGGAAGTGCAGGAGGATCCAAGCTAAAAATGGTACATATGAATCATTAGTAATGACATAGCAAAAATGTTATGAAAATGACACACAAATACTGAAAGATGCAGTAATATTACTGTCAACTATGTGATACAACTTGCCATCTATTTGGTTTTTCACATACAACCTTAAGCTAATTTGGAGTACAAGTAAACCAAATAAGCTCCCCCCACTTGTACTTATAAATCCGCTCCAAGTCAGCGAAGTATCTTAGGTAAACCACATCCACATAAGTGTTAGAACACATATTGATTCTTAGTTATATCTCTATGTTTTGATAATAACAATAATGAAATTTTGTATTAAGAAATTATATACTCTAAATTTGTTCAAGTATTTTTACTGCAGATATCAAAGTTAATATTCTTCTGAAAGCAAAAATGGATCTGAACGTTGAACTACGCAAGGCTCTGAAGCGTCAGAAGCATCTCTTAGAAGACTCTGAGCGCTGCCTACAAAAGGATCTGAAGCAGAAGCTACAGAAGCATCTGAAGCGCAAAACTGAAGAATTTGTATGAAGAGTTTCAAGCACTGTTTTTCAGAAGACTCTGATAGTACTGTACGCTGCATGTACTGAGGATCTAATCTCCAAACTCTGCTCTGATTAATTACATGCTGAAGCACACTTGCTGCAATACTCTGATACAGCAAACTCTAAAGAACATCAAAGACTCTGATCACTCAAAGCTCTGATGTTGATTGCTGTGAAATATAAACTTGTTGAAGAAGAATTTAAAGTTATATCCGTTAGTTATGCCAAACGAATCTTTCCTCTTTTATGCTAGACACAAGAACTCAGGCAAAAAGGATTTCTCTGAACGTTCTACTTATAGGAAAGGTCAAGTGATGTGAAGACAAAAAGGTTACAGCTACTTTGCAGTACACAGTCTTCAAAGCTTGCAACGTCTTGGATTTCTAAGTCTATAAAAGCAAGCCTTTAACAACTTTCTTCAGTTGACGAACATTGACGAATTATTGAACAATTCATTTGAAAACTCTCTCAAAGCTCTCATAAAAATTATTCTTTGCTAAATAGTTTTCATATGTTCTTAAACTTAAGTGTAAATCACAGTTGTGATACAACTTTCTTAGAAGCATTCAAACACTTGTTTAGTTTACATTTGATTGTAAAAGTTCCTTGAGAAGACCAAGTTGTGGTCAGTAGTTCTTGAGAAGGCTAAGACAGTTGTTCTTAGTGGTTGCTATTGTAATCAGTTTGATTAATAGTGGATTAAGTCCTTGTGAAGAAAGGCAAATCACTCTTGATAGGGTGGACTGGAGTAGTTGAGTTCAACGAACCAGGATAAAAATCTTTGTGTTTTTATTGCCATAATATTTTCTAAATCCTTATTCAACCCCCCTTCTAAGTATTTTCTCACCTTCAATTGGCATTAGAGCTCTGGTTCTGTGTGTTCTATCACTTCACCGTGAACAGAAAAGATCCAGTGAGAAAAATACTCTTGATATTCTTTGGTTGATATTATGGTTGAAGCTTCAACATCTAACAACAACAACAGATATGAAGAAAGGGATAGAATCAACACAAAACCCCCTATGTTTGACGGGGAGAAGTTTGACTATTGGAAGGACAGAATAGAGAGTTTCTTCCTTGGTTATGATGCTGATCTATGGGACTTAGTCATTGATGGTTATGTTCACCCCACTGATGGGGATGGCAAGAAAATTGATAGAAAATCTATGACTGAAGCCCAGAAGAAGGAGTTCAGAAATCATCACAAAGCTAGAACAATCTTATTAAATGCTATATCTCATACTGAGTATGTGAAGATTACCAACAGAGAAACAACATTTGATTTGTTTGAGTATTTGAAGATGATTCATGAAGGGAACTCACAAGTTAAAGAGACAAAGGCTCTGACGCTGATCCAGAAATATGAAGCCTTTAAAATGGAAGAATCTGAATCTATAGAAGCTATGTTCTCTAGATTCCAGATCCTCACAGCTGGGTTAAAAGTGCTGGACAAAGGCTATTCAACTGCTGATCATGTGAAGAAGATCATCAGAAGCTTGTCCATCAGATGGAGACCAATGGTCACTGCTCTGAAGCTTGCTAAGGATCTGAACAAGATCACATTGGAGGAGCTAATAAGTTCTCTGAGGAGCCATGAGATTGAACTTGAGGAAGACGAGCCTCAAAAGAAAGGTAAGTCAATTGCCTTAAAATCTAACAAATTTGTTAAAGCATTGCAGGTGTTAGAAGAAAGTTCTGAAGAGTCTTCTTCCGAAGAAGAAGATGAACTGTCCTTGCTGTCCAAAAGAATCAACAAACTCTAGAAGCACAAACAGAGGAAGTTCAAGAACTTCAAGAAGCCAGATCAACGCAAAGAGTCCTCTGGACATAAAAGATCTGGAAAGAAGGAGGTTGTTTGCTATAAATGCAAAGAACCTGGCCATTACAAGAATGAATGTCCAAAGCTTCTAAAGGAAAAGCCAAAGAGGAAGTTTGACAAAAAGAAGAACGTTCTAATGGCAACCTGGGATGATTCAGATGAATCTGAATCTTCATCAGAATCTGAAGAAGAATGCGCCAACATGGCTCTGATGGCAGGCGTGGAAGATCAGGATGAAGGATCATCTGGATCTGAATCTGATTCTGAATCTGACTCAGAAGAGGTACTTTCTGATCTCTCTAGGGAAGAACTTATTAAAGTTTTATCAGAATTCCTGAATAACTATAACCAGATTAAGCTCAAATGCAAGAAGCTTAAATGCAATCTTGAATCTGAGAATAGTCTGTTGAAGTCAGAAGTTGCTGAGCTCAAAGAAAATAATTTGAAAATGAAAATCAATTTTGAAAAAGCTCAACAAGACTCTGAATCTGAAACTAAGTTAAAATGCAAAAATATTTTAGAATAATATGACTTTAGTTTTCAGAAGTTTCTGGCTAAAAGAATAGATAGAAGCAAGATGGCTTCAATGATCTATGGAGTTAGCAGAAACAACAGGAAAGGAATTGGATATGAATCTTCCTCTGGAAAGGATTTAAATCTAATGCCTGTTGATAAACTTATCATTAAGAAGACTCCCTTATATTCTCATTTTAAGTTTGGTCATCTGAATGATATTAAACACACACGTTCTGATCAGAACGTTCCTGTGTTTAAACCAAAAGTTAGTCAGAACAAAAATGTTGTAAAAAGACAGAAGTTCAGACAAACTTTTAAGGAAACTAACCCAAAAGGACCCAAAAAGATCTGGGTACCTAAGGATAAGATAATCCCTGTTGCAGATGTATTTAGCAGCAAAGTCAAGACGCCAGTCATGGTACCTGGACTCTGGCTGCTCACGTCACATGACGGGAGAAAGGTTTATGTTCCAAAGCCTGGAGCTTAAATCTAGAGGAGATGTCAAGTTTGGAGGGAATAAGAAGGGCAAGATTATTGGCTCTGGTACTATTGGCA